TCTTCTCCAATTAATTTCTACAATCAAGTCAGAATCTCAACTGGGTTTTTCACTGAACTTAAGGTGATTCTAAAATTTATTTGAAAGAGCAAAGAAAAGGGAAGAATCAGTGGTACACTCCTGAAGAAAAAGAACAAGATATGTAAATTAACCTATCAGATATAAAAACTTTTATAAAGAAATTGGAATTAAGAGAGCATATATTGTGTTTGGAAAGACAGGAAAATGGGTTGATGGAACAAAGAATCCAGAAACATGCTCAGATATACATGGAAACTTATAGATGATAGGTGTCATTACAGAGAAGCAAGGAAAAAATAGACTACTTAATAAACGCTGGCACAATAGATTAACACAAGCACTGTACACAATTCCAGGTGGAGTAAGAGATTTCAGCTTGTGAAATGCAAAACATTAAATCTTTTAGAAGAAAAACAAGGTAAAGTTCTTTTTAACCTTAAAAGAAAAAGATTTTTAAACAAGACACAAAGTGCAAAGTATGAAGAAAGTGATCAATAAATTTACTACATTAAGAGCTTCCTCTAAGTAAAAGAGCATAAAGAAAATAAATAGACAAGGTACAAACTGTGAGAAGACATCTTGATAAGAAATTTGACGTCTTCCTTAAAATTTTGAATATAAAATGTTATATACATTTAAAATATAAAATGCATCAGTTATAAACACCAATTTAATAAAACAACCTAGCAGAAAAATGGAAAAACAGGAAAGAAATGGGGAAACCCAGAAAATATACAGGTAAACATTTAACATTCACTAAGTTGAGAAATCTTGAAAAACACAGGGGAGGGTTTTGTATGATGCTGGTGAGAGTATAAATTGGTACAACTACTTTGTATGTTCAATTGGCATTTTCTAGTAGTAAAATTGAAGATACACATACTGAATCCTTAGCTATTTCATTCTTAGTGTGTAGGCTAGAGACATATTCCATAGTTGTTTATTTTTAAAAGCAACTTTATGGAGTAGTATTTACATACAATAAAATGCTTCCATTTTAATCGTATAGTTTGATGAGGTGTAACTATCAAATTTTCCATCATCCCTAAAAGTTTCCTCTTCTACTATGACAGAAGAGACCTTCACCCATTTTCAATACAGTGCCATTTTTGTAAATTTTATGTAAATGGAATCTGATGTATGTAGATACTTGTGTCTGGCTTCTTTCTCTTAGAGTAATGCCTTTGAGAGTCATCTATTTTGTTGTTTATGACTTCTTCCTTTTTGTTGTTGAGTGATATTCCTTTATATAGATATATCAGAAGTTGTTTATAGTTACTAGTTTTTGCAAATTTAGATTGTTTCCAGTTCTTGGGTTATTATAAATAAAAAATACTGCCATAAGAATCCATGCACAGTACAGGTAAAATGGAATATATATATATATATATATATATGTTTTTATTTCTCTTGTGTAAATTCCTAGGCCTGGAATTTGGGGGCCATATGGTAAGTATATATTTAACTTATAAGAAAATGAAAATCTGTTTTCCAAGGTAGTTGCACTATTTTGTATTCCCAGAAACAATGTATGAGAGTTATAGTTCATAGCATCATTACACATAACAGCTAAAAATGGAAACAACCCAAATGTTCACTGACAGAAGAATGAATAAACTGTGGTATATTCACTCATAAAAATACCCTAAATAATTAACTACAGCTATAATCATCAACATGACTAAAATATATTAAAACTCGATCACAGAATACATACACTATATCCTATATATATGTATATATTTTTGAAATATGCTATGGTCTAGGGGTGGGGAGGGATAGGGTGTGTCAGAGATGTTGGTAATATCCTGCTTTTCTACATAAATATGTGTGATATACTTTTATAATAAAAGAAAAAAATACAAAGAACAGGGCATGATGGTGCACACCTGTACTCCCAGCACTCTTGCAGGAAGATGGCAAGTTTGAGAATGGCCTGGGCAACTTAGTGACTTAATGAGACCCCACCTCCACATAAAAAATCAATAAATAAAAATGGGCTGAGGATGTAGCCAAGTGCAATGGCCCTGGGTTCAAATAGTGAGCATTTGTCGTATATTGTCATGTATTTTTCTACTTCTATTTAGTATTCTGTATATTTCTTCTGAGAAGTTGCAGTCTTAGTCCTGATAATTCTGGAATACATTTCCATCTCTGAGAGAATTTAGATGTCTGACTCCCAGCAACATTAATGGCAGTAGTTAAATTCATAAATCCTTATTTATGGAAATAAGAATACAGCCCACCTGATAACAAAAATAATTGGGTAGAATTATTTATTTCTTAGGTGGAGAATTTTATCAGGGAATGGTGTGTCCTCTATTTCTTTTCCAATTGAATTATTAAAACTGAGGTTTAAAACCATCGTAAAATGACCTGATAGTCAAATATAAAGTTTATATCCTCAATCTAGAAAGCCCAGTTGGTCGCTTATTCGATAAGAAGACAGCAATATTGACAATAAAATTTTCTCTATCTCCCTTTGAGGTCATATCATAGAAATGTAAATTAAAGAAGTTGAAAATTTCATCAGATGAAACATTCCAGTGAGGGGAAAGACAAGAAATAAGTTTTTCATGTGTTTTAGCAGTATTAAAAAAACTATAAATTAGAGTTACATCAGATGGCACATTTTCATCTCTCTCCTTCAACATTATTACAAAGGCAATATTTTTATACAGTTATAATTTCATTGCAACTGTGATTATTAAATATATTAGATATCATAAAATTGTATATTTGAGTAAAATTTCATCCCTAGCTTTATAGCAATTCTAGTACGAAATTTTTTAATGGCTGGAAATTAAATGTAAATTATTACAGAAGCAATTTCAAATACACAGGGCTAGGAAATGAACCTTGAGTTTATTAAACAATAATAAAATAATGGTAATTAAACACTGATGCAATTACTATTAAAATACAAATTCCCCAAACTTAAAAAAATGCTTTAATATTAATCACTGGCTTGACTTTCTTTTAAGTTGAAACCAAGATGTTTGAGTAGAAATAATCATTTTAAACAATAAAGTAATTCTTTTATTGTGCTCCACATTATTTAAAAACTTTAAAACTGTATTTTGTTCCCTACGGTTATGTGGGAGATGATAAAGAAATCACATCAAGGTGGAATTGATCATGACAGTTATTTTCTCATGCTCACAAGTGACTGAGTGGGAGTTTCTGAAAAATAAGTTACCTATTCCTTAGCTGTTCATTACTGTTAAGTAAGCATCCTCAATTTTACATAGTGAACTTCAATTACTTGTATGAATTATATCAGAGATTTTCCTTTCCTAGATGAAGGATGGATGTGCTAGATACAGCTATAACTCAGTGTTTTTAGCAGGATCCAGTCATTAACTCTGTTTCACTAGTGGGGAAACTAGACTCACGGACATTAAGTAAATTGTCCCTTTATCTTGCCTAATGACAGTTATAGCATTAGAGTCTCTGTTTCTGAAGTCAGTTGTCTTTCTATTATACCATCATTTCCGTATCTGATGTTTATCTTCAGGTAAAAATAAATATTAAGATGTCACTGTGCTGGTTATCTTTCCACTACTATAATAAATACCTGAGATAAATCAACCTATAAGAGAAGATTATCAGGTGTGGTGCACACCTGTAGAGGGCTAGGGTGGGAGGATTGCTTGAGTGCATGAGTTCAAGACCAGCCTTGGTAGCAAAGGGGGACCCCTATATTAAATAAATAAATAAATAAATTAAAAAAATATAAAGAGAAAAGATTAATTTTGGCTCACAGTTTTAGAGGTTTCATCCCACAGTCATTGGCCTCATTGGTTTGGGTCTGTGGTAAAGCAGCACAGCATGATGGGAGTCTGTGGCCAAGCAGAATGGCTCAGCTCATGGTAGGGGGCAAAAAGAGGGGGTAGAGAAGGGGCTGAAGTCCCACTGTTCCCTGCAAGACACACCCCTGGTGACTGAGATCTCCCAGAGACCTGACATCTTGAAGGGTCCACTACCTCCCAATAGGTGCCTTTAATATAGAGCTTATGGGAAATACGGAAATATTCCACATTGAAGCTGTAGCAGTCGCCTTATTAAATTTCATCTCTGGAGAGATAACAGGTGATAATTCTCAGAACCTGTAAATATATCTTTATAAGGAAAAGGAGTATTAGATGTGATTAAGGATTTTGAGATGAGGAGACTATCCTGGATTATGCCTGAGGGCCCTAAATCCAATCATAAATATTTTTATGAGAAAGTGAAAGAGGGAGATTTGACACAGACAGAAGAATAGAAACAGAAATGGGAGAAGGTAATGTAATCATAGAGACAGAGCCATGGCCCTTTGCCTATGAAGAGGGGCAAGGAATGGATTTTCCCTATAGCCTTCAGAGGGAGCACAATCTTGCAGAGCTCTTGATTTTGGACTATTGAAACTGATACTGAACTTCGAGCCTCCAGAACTGTGAGAGAAGGAATTTCTCTTGTTTGAAACCACCAAGATCATGGCAATTTGTTGCAGCAGTCCTAGGAAACTAACACAGAGACACTGTTCAAGTTTTTAATACTCTGTTCAACTCTATTCAACTGACTTAAGTCTCTGTTGTGGAACAGATGAATTCATCAGTAACTAATATCTCTGTTAAAAATTTCCCAGAGGGATGGGGATGTATCTCAGTGGTGCCAGGCAAGTGCAAGGTCCTGAGTTCAATTCCCAGTACTGGAAAAAAATTTTTTTCTCAGAACATGGAATGGCTAAAATCTAGGGTTTCCAAGCCCTTCTGTACTTGGACATCTATTACCTGAAAATTAATAGGTAATTAACTTATTAATTAATTAATTGACAAGTTTAAAAAATAGTTAAACAGAGCAGATATTAATTTATGTAAAAAGAAAATTGTTATTGGTAAACTAAAATCTGCCTAGGAAAACTTGGGAATATATTATATACTTATTAGAATGACAAAATCTCATTCTAAAGAAGTTTTTTTGCTTTTTCTTTACAGGAAGACTTCTGGAGCTATCCTGTCTGGATGGGTGTTTGGAACCTAATATTACCTATTCACTCTCATCCTTAAATTATTCTTTTGTGACTTTTCTGCAACCAGTGAGGGACACTCAGCCTGTTAAGGGACTCTTTCTATATCATTCCAGTTTCCAAAACTTCACCAGGATTTGCCCAAAGCTCATGAGTGAATTTAAAATGTGCTCCTTGTGTTTGGTTTGTGAGTCCAAAGGAAATGTGGATTTCAATTATCAAGAACAAACATCAAAAGGTAAATACAGAATGAAAGTGAGAATAAAACGTACCAAGTGCAAATTAACTTACTCTGCTACAAAAACATAATACATTCCATTTTAAAATCCAGTGGCGTTTGATCACTCAGTGGTGTGGTTGCTGTTGAGTGACTTGGCAACCATACTCATTTTTTAGTTTATTTTGACTTATTGAAAACAAACTATCTGGATTTAAAATACATCAAAATGCTGCTGTAATTCAGATACATTCTGGGGTAAAAGATCATTTAGCCTTCTAGCTTCAAAGGTAGTGAATGTTTAAAAAAACAATTCTAAGGAAACCTGTAGTTTCTCATGGTAAAATCAAACACTGTTTCTCCAATGAGTCATTGAACCCTTGACGTATTGATATCTACTCTTGCCTAACATTTATCTAACCAACTTGAGTTGTCTTTTTACTTGTCTAACTCTCCAACGAGCCTTTTGGGGAAAAGACCTTTGTTTTTGTTCACCCCCATATCTCTAGGTTTTAGCATAATGCCTGATGTCATACATGGTAGGCGCTTAATAAATACTTGTGGAATGAATAAGTGAACAAATAAAAGAGTAACTATGTGTTATCTGCGGTGCCTAACTGAACCTTGCATTTATTATGAGATCAAGCTATATTATTTAATCAAATTGAATCAAACTGGGTAATTGAAAAGTTGAACAATTCATTCCCAGTCATAAAATATGCTGCTGACCTTAAGCCCAAGCATCACAGTTATTGCTTAAACCTATTCAGCAAGATTGCCTCCTGTTTCACTATAGCTTGGCCTTTTCTCATTCTTTAAAATTTGAAACAAGATTTCTTGGCATCAGCTTTGGACAAAGTTCTCACTCAAGCAGTGCTAAAACCATTCAAGTGTTCTGCATTGAGTTCACCAGGGGGCAAGTTAGGGAGATAGAGGACTAGGAAGTGTTTTAAGGACCAGAGGCTCTCGGATGTTATTTCTCTGCTCCTTGAAATGTGGAAAGAGTGCCATGACAAGTTGTCTCAGTTACGATGGCTGTGTAAAAAGTCACTCCAAATGCAATGGCCACTTGATCAGCTTTTCCTTTTCTTTTTTGTGGATCAGGAATGTCTGGCTTGGGGTGTTTCATACTGTTGTCGAGTGGAGCTAAAACATAGGGCAGCCAGAGCAGCTAGAGACAGGTGAACATCTCTTCATGTAGTTTTAGAATTTTTCTATATGTGACCTTTTATTCTTATTACTATTGGAGTAATAACACTTAACATGAGAACTACCCTCTTAAAATTTTTTAAGTACACAATTTCGTATTGTTAACTATAGGTAGAATGCTGGACAACAGAGCTCTAGAACTTAGTCATTTTGCATAGCTGGAACTTTATAACCACTGGACAGCAATTTTCCATTTCCTCTTTGCCCTAGCCCTTGGGATCATTCTACTCCCTGTTTCTAATAGCTTTACCAACCTCAGATAAGTGGGATCATGCAGGACTGTATTTGTTTTGTGGCTGTCTTACTTCACCGAGCATAATGTCCTCCAGGTTCATCCATTTGTCACAAGGAGTCACAAGTAACAGGATTTCTTTCTTTTATAAGACTGAATAACATTCTAGTGAGCATGTGTGTGTGTGTGTGTGTGTGTGTACATGCACAACATTTTTTCTCTCTCTACTCATCTGTCAATGGACATTTATTCTCTGTATTTTAGCTATTGTAGATGATGCTACATTGAATACGAGAGGACAGACATCTTTTCAGATCCTGGTTTCAATTCTTCTGGATATGTATCAGGAAGTGAGGTGGCTGGAGAATATGGTAGTTCTATTTTTTATTTTTTTGAGGAACTTACATACTGTCTTATGTGGTGACTGAACCATTTTACATTTCCATCAATGACCAAGGGCTCTAATTTCTCCACATCCTGAACAGTACTTGTTATCTATTTCTTCTTTTTGCAATAACCTACTGACAAGAGTGAGGTGATATCTGATTGTGGTGTTGATTTACATTTTGTTGATGATCAGTGACACTGAACCACTTTTCACATACTCATTGGCCATCTGTCTATCTTCTTTGGAGAAATTTCTATTGAAGTCCCATGCGTGCGTGTGTGTGTGTGTGTGTGTGTGTGTGTACAGGATCTGTCTATGCTGCCCAGGCTGGTCTTGGCTGCCTATGCTCAAGTGATCCTCCTCCCTCAGCCTCCAGATTAGCTGGGACTATAGGCTCTGGTCACTGTGCCTGGCTTTTGCCCATTTTAAAATCAGGCTATTTTTTTTTCCCTGTTGAAGTTACAGGAATTCCTTATATGTTATGGATACTGTATAAACTTTTTGTCACATGGCAGCTCCATGGTTTGCAGATATTTTCTCTGATTTTGGGGCTGCCTTTTTACTCTGCTCACTGTTTCCTCGATGTCATCTTTCCACTTTGGCCTTCCTCACAGCCAGGTGACCTTAAATTGTTGGACTTTTACACAATGACTCAAGGCTCTGGGGTTAGTGTTCCAAAGATCAAAGTGAGAGTTGCTTCCCCTGTTCTGGCTTAGTCATGCAGGGTCTCTTCCTTTGCATTTGATTGGTTATAAGCAAGTCACACACTCTGCTAGATTCCAAGGGAGGGAATGAGATGCTACCTATTTATGGGAGAACCATAAAGTTTTAGGATAACATGGGTGCTCTGAAATGAACTGTGCCCTGCTGCCTAAATTTATATGTCGAAGTCCTAATCCCCGATACCCCAGAATGTGACATTATTTTGAAATAAGACCATTGCAGACATAATTTTCTTAAAATGGTCATTAGGGTGGGCCCTAATTCTATCTGACTGATGTCCATATACAGAGAAATTTTGAGGCAGGCACATAAGGAGAACAATATGTGAAGATGGAGGCAGAGATCAGGATGAAGTCATTGGGTGTCAGCGATGCCAGCAGAGCTCCGGAAGTGAGGAGAGAAGGGTGGATTCCTCCTCACAGCCCTTAGAAGGAACTGACCCTGCTCACACCCTGGTCTCACACTTCTAGCCTCTAAAACTGGGAGACAAATTGCTGTTCTTTAAGCTACCCAGTCCATCCACTTCATTACAGCAGTGTGGGAAATACTGTGAATGTTTTAGAGAATGCAGTCTTTCCTACAAGTCATCAGGGAAATACCTGTATCTGAGATGTTCTGATGCTATTTCAACCCTACCTTTACTTGGTTTTCATGATCTTAAAAAAAATTAATCACTTTAATAAGTATTTGCAATGTAGATAATTTCTTGTTTCTATTTTCTTGTATAGAAAGGAGAAGATTTAGTTTTGAACTGTGTTTTCTTATTATGTATTACTATTTGTCAAATAATGTTTCCTTAATGTCTTCCTAGTTCTTATCATGAGAAGATCAATGGACATGAAAGCAAAAGATTTTTTTTCACCTTGTCAACATTTTAATTTCTCTGTAACTCCTGGAGTTGACCAGTTGGAGGGATCCAACACTACCTGCAGCCTCAGGGGGCACCCTAGAAAATCAGCCATTGTGGAGGAAGAGCCACCGAAGGAAAATTTTCTAAATGATACTTGTAGAATCACAGAGTACCCAAATAATTGCACTCGTATTTCCTTGCACCTAGAAATGGATATAAAAAGTAAGTTTTTAAGAAAACTAGAGGGAAAAAGAGAAATCAGATATAGACACATAAAATTAAGTAAGGGCCCTTATCATCACTGAAAGTCAAATAGTTGAATAAATTCATAAATAAAATAACAGAACCAGGAGGAATGTTAGGGTTTTTTTTACTATTTATTTTTTTCTTTTAAAAATGTGGTTTTTATGAGGGTGCTGCTATAACCTGAGGCAGAGGAAGCATCTATGGGTCAGGATTTGAGGAACACTACAAAGACCTACCCTAGTGTACTTCCACACCTAGTCTATCAGCTGTGCTTAAAGTAAAACCACACACTTGGGTACAGAAGGGTGGGATTGCTTTTAAAATGTAAATATTTGTGTACATTGTTATTGTGCTGTTACATTTTGTTTTGAGGTCATCTACCATGTCCTGTCGTAGAGCTGAGAACTTGGCTCGGGTGAAAGGGGCTTTTGGGCATAACGCTGCAAGGACAGGTTGAGGTGCATTTTAGGTGCAGAGGGCACCCAATCGCTGAAGGAAAAGCAGGCGGCCAAGAGATGGCCCTCGTGTTCATCTTATTTCTGCTTAGGGCGATTGACTTCCTAGTCGTTCTGATGACAACAACTATTCCATTCCTCTTCCTTTTCCTGGATACTGGGGATTGAACCTGTGGTCTTCTCACCAAGCTTCAGCCCTTATAAGCTCTTTAAACAAATTTTTTAAAAAGGCAGGGTTTTGCTAAGTTATTAAATTGCTCAGACTGGTTGGGCTTGAACTTGTGATCTTTCTGCCTCAACCTCCTAGAGTGCTGAGATTGCAGGCACAGTTTATTCCTTTCTACTTCACCCATAAAATCTACTCTTGGAGAACATTTGATGATGTATGTTCATTTCACAAGTGCCCGCTGTATGCCAGGTAGTGCATCAGGCGCTGGATTAGAGAACAGAATGCAGCCTGGAAGAGGAATACACCGTACATAAACAAGCCAGTGCATGCCACAGCTGCAGATGCTATGGCACTGCTTGGCTGGGCTTTTTGATATCCCAGACAAATAGAAACTTTTCAGATTTCTTTGGAAGGCTTTTCTAAAGGGTTTTCTTAACTTTGAAGCTAATTATTTTAAAATTATTACGTTTACTTTAAAGCTAATACAAGTATGCTATGTGTATGCCTCTTTAAGGTAAAATATGATTTCAAAGATATTTCTTCTGTGCGTTAGTTTGCCCAGGGCCATACAGCTTCTGCGTTTAGGGGTATTTCAAGCTGTATCTGGGTGGGTCTGTGGAAGAGGATCTGAGAAGATCTCAACAGAGGGGCCAGTTTCCTTTGGCCCAGGAGTGAGGTCGGAAGGTGAACTCTGAAAAGACTGGGTAGAAAAGGTGACTATAGTGAAATCTGAAAGGGAGGTTTGGATTATAAATATTTAGAACATATTACTTTCAATGCACACTTGGGTATCCATCTAATTACTTTTTATGTTTTTCCAAAAACATAAAGAGAAACAAAATCTTCCGTAATAATGATTTTGAGAGAATTTATTTTTGTGTTAATATAAAAACCCATAAATTCTGGATTCATAGTGCAATGATAATTATCAGATCCCTGGGGCTCCACAATTTAGAAAGATATAGCAGTGGTACCACAGATAGGTACTCTTAGATTCTGGAAAAAAAGTCTGTCCGTTTAGCCATGTGCAGAAGGTTAAAAATTTATTCATGTTTCACTCTGTGTGAAGACACATTTAAACTCTCTTCAAAGCCTTCACCATCAGAGAGTGAAACTAAATTTACCCCACTCTGGTACAGTTACTCAGAAACAATTCTCTAAGCTATCTTTTTAGATTTTCTTGGGTTTCTGTCTCTTTCTCCTTGCCTCTGTCCAAGCTCCCAGCCTGGGCATTGGGAGCCATTCTCTTTGGAGTTTACTCGGATGCCATAGTGGATGAATTCATTGGTCTGGCCCTAGTCATGCATATTTGGCTACTGCAATATAAGCTTAGTGAATGCATGGTTCTCTTTTCATAGTTTGCTGCCTAATGAGACATCGGTTCTTGGGCCCACCTTAGGTCTTACTGGCACTGCAGATCTCCTGTGCTATTTGACTGCATGCTTTTATTCTGTGGAGTGAGGAACACAAGTTTGGTATCTAAATAGCATGGAATGATATTGCAGAGGTTGAGTGCCTTCTGCCAGCCAACCTGCCTGCCCTCCAGTCAGCCTCTTTTGTAAGTGTGGAATGACTATTTAATGTACATCTGGGTTCCTGGAAAGGAAATATCTAGATCATTAACCCCACAAAAGAAGTTTTCAAAGGTATAAACAAGTTATATATTCTGCTAAGTTAAATAAATACCAGCCATGTTCTGTGTGCAATGAATAGGGTACATGGGGTGGCTTAGAAAGTCAGTAGACACTTATTTCTTGACTTGGTGATGTCACCCCTATTGAAGTCACTGATTCCTGGGTCTGCTGGGCAGTGTATCTTTATGGGATCAAGGCAGACCATACCGAATAGTTGCTCTATGATGACCATCCCTTCCATGTTGCCTTGCTGTCATCTGAATGAGAAGGTTTATGCTTGCATCCTGTTAAATTTAGGCCAGGGCACGCACCTAATCTGATCATTGGTGTGTAAGTCACTGAACTATTACCCAGTGGAAAGAGGATCTGGTTATGCATCTGTCCTGACCACTCTCATGCCTTAGGCCAGTCCCTCGTTTGCTCCTGCCATCCCTTTTCTTCTCCATTCTCCTTGTACTCACCGAATCTTTGTTGATTTGAGGACATGTTTTTGGGCTGATTGACTCAGGACCAAAATTGTTATTACAAATGGCTCTGGTTCTGGGACTGATATGTTGTGGTCTCAACCTAGTGATGGCAATGATAGGGAAGCTAATATCAGCCCAACCTGTAAGTGAAATTAACCTTAGAATTTTGGAGTTAAATGGATCCCTGAAAGCCACCTGGTCAAATTTACTCTTTTAATACATTGGGAAGGATTTCAGGAGAGGAAGTGACCCTGTAACAGTAAAGGCTACATATTCATCTTTTCTGTTGGGGCACATTGCTTTTGATCTGTTGCAGCATTTTATTGTGGCTTTTTTATAGTACTTTTTTTTCTTTACAGATATCACTTGTTCCATGAAGATCACTTGGTACATTTTAGTTTTATTAGTCTTTATTTTTTTGATCATTCTCATTATCCACAAAATACTTGAAGGCCACAGGAGAGTGCAAAAATGGCAGAGTAAATATTGAGGAGTAAATCTGTCATTTAAGATAATCCATTTATTATCAAAGAACACCTACTTTTATCCATGGACTTAATTTTCTTTTTTAGTTCAACTTACTATTTATTGTGTCCCAACTGTCTGTAAGTAGTGAATCTAGATAATTCAAGGAATAAAAGCATAAGGAAGACATGGGATCAATATTCACGTATCTTTCTCCTACCTGGATAGGAAGTGGGAGTAGAAGAAAGACTGGATGAGGGCTGGGGATGTAGCTCAGGAGTAGAGCTCTTGCTTAGAATGTGGAAGGCTCTAGATTTAATCCCTGGCCCTGGAAAAAAATTACCCAAAGACTGGGTGAACAGGACAAAGTTGACCAGATGGTGAGTAGGGCTTAGTGGAAGTAAGGCAAAGAGAGGCAGAATAAGATGAAGTGGTGTCAAAGAATTTCAGAGAGATCTGAAGCAAAGTCATTCTAGGTGATAAATAGGACCTGGAATCAATTTTTAATAAGCATGGAGACATCAGTAGACTTTTCATAGGGTAGAGAAAGATATAATTGGAAATCAGGACAGTATAGGTGATGTTAAAAATGTTAAACATCTATACTGACAGAGGCACCCACCTAGCAGGATGGATTGTAAACCCCCGGCATGGTGTGTGCAGCCATGCATATGTGGGATGACTACCAGCCTTGATGGAGGGTTCATAATGTGAGAAGTTTTACACTTAAAAACAGTGTAAAATGTATCACTGTGACAATAGGTTTTAAAGACAGATGAACTTATGTTAGAGTCCTTGTATTACTCCTTACTAGCTGTGTAACTTCGAGCAAGTTACTGGCCATATCTAAGTGTGCCTTTACTCTCCAGTCAAACAAGGATACTCACCGCTACCACACAGGATTGGGGAAAGGATTGAAGTAAAGGGATTGCTTAAGAGGTTTAACATTTAACAGTGTCTGGTGCAGTATTGTGGTGGTTGTTTATTTCCCAAAGCTCTTATGTCGCTCACCAGGTAGGGCCATGTCAGTCATTCCAATAGCAGAATAAGTGCTTGCCTCTGGATTTAAGCCAGGGTGCCATTAATTCTTTTGACTAAGCTGTAGGCTTTTAAAAATGTGGTACTGGTGATTGAACCCAGGGCCACACATGTGCTAGGCAAGTGCTCTACCACTGAGCTATTTTTATTTATTTTGAGACAGGTCTTGCTAAGTTGCCAAGGATGGCCCAAAACTTGTGATCATGCTACCTCAGCCTCCTGAGTAGCTGGATTACAGGTGTTATTCACCATGTGCAGCTTGTTGCAGATATTTCTGAGAACAGTTTCGTATCAAATGTTACCTTTGATATCTTAGTAATAAAGGCCCTTAATTCAGGGGTTAATAAAATCAGCAACACTATATATTTGTACAATAACTACTTTCAGAACATTTTCTCTAGATTCCCTAGAATTTAAAGAGCGTATATAGTATTATTTTTGTTTTTTAGATTGAAAAACCCTCCTGAAACTCAGAGAAGTTAAATGTTCTGTCCAAAGCTATATAGCTAGAGAAATGTCAAGCGAGGACTTGGTAGCTTTCTAGTTTTGAAAATTATATTAAATAAATGTATTTTATTTGCAAATAGTACATAGTTCTGAATCTCCTGACTCATTTTGCATATGGCTATGTTTAGAAAAGACATATAAATGAGATAGAAAAAATAGTGACCAAACAATAGTGAGAAGTTGCATTAGGTTCTTATGAACATCTACCCACAGGACAGACTTAGTGGCTTTCAAAAGCTTTTCTTGCAAGCCCAAGTTATAAAGTAATGACAAATGTCACACCACTTATGACATTAAATATAATTAAATATTAAATGTAAGTTACATATTCTATACATCAAATACATAATATTTTATATGTAAGCATTTATGGTATTTATGGTAGCATTTATGGTAGCAGAGAAGCTACTGGCTTTAGAAAGAACTTGTATTTTTTTATAGAAAGGGAAAAATTCATGGTGTCTTGTTACCCAGGCCCTGTTGTGAATGGCCCATTCTTCTTGGTAATCTTTTGAACCAACATAAGAAATACATATTGAGATTGTGCTTGTTTATTAGCTGAATATTTAATTTCTTTTCTTGGAATAGGTCATAAATACACAACTACATCTGTTCACTTAAGAGGAAGCGATTCTGAGAAGCTGAGAGCATTGAATGTGCGGGTTATTCCAGGTGAGTTCTGTGGCATGTGAACAGAACACGGCTCAGGAAATTCCAAAGCTGCACCAGTTCACTACAAAGTAAATTCAAGATCTGAGATCTGAGCTCATTTAAATTAGCCTTGTATCTGGAATAAAGGAGCTGTGGGCAAATGAAATCCAGCTTAATATGTCTTATTATCAGGGGACAGTTACGATCCAAACTACCTCCTTAAATAATGGAAAGTTTGCTTAATTGGCACGAAGAAACTCCTGTGAGTGGGCAGAGAGGAGAGTGCAATAAGAAATAAGCCTCAGATTTATTTTTAAATGAGACAAGATACCATTATTGCTCAGAATTGCAAGAAGTAATTGCAGAGTGGGCATGGCTTTTGCTGGTGCCTTCACTTCACAGAGGGTGTCATTGTGCAAAGAGAACTTCTAATAGCCCCAATTAAAAAGCCCCCTGTCCTCTCCCGAGAAACAACAATGGAATATGGGGATCCTAATTAGAGCAGCTAAGGGGGCTGTTAGCACAGATGCTGTGGTTCCATCTCCTTCTAATTGTACAGCCTCCCTTTGAATCCATGCTGGCAAATCACATTAAAAAGAACGGGAGGGAAAGTGGGACATGGAAAAAGTCCTCCCTTCACCAAAGAGAAATAGTCTTTGACTGTCGGAAAACCACAGAATTCTGAGTGATAGTGCTAGCGATTTGTCCACAGCCTGTGAGCAGGCCGCTTTGTACTCTGTGAGAAGTTAAAAAAGGAAGCTTCGAGTCTGGTGTGTAAACACTTTTCAGAAATAAGAGGACACCAGACAACTCTCTGTCCCCCACTGCAGCTGCCTTTGAAGCCACCTAGAGATGTGCCCAGCATTTCACTGGGGACTGGGTCCCTGAGGGTTCTGTTAGCTATTGACACAAGCAGGAACTCAGACCCCTAGTCTAGGGAAAATTTAGACTGGGTGCAGCTAAAGAGCTCAATGTTTTTTTAAACTTAGACTTTCTACTCAGTTTTAGCAGTTGAATTATTAAGGTATGGCTAATAATGAGCATTTGCAATATAATCATTTGACTCCAGTTACATGTGGGGTAGGTTGATGGAAATTCTGTGGAGTCAATGAAAATTTTGTTCAGCTAATAAAATAAAAGCCACAAAGATAATTTAAATGAAAACATTCATTTTTAAAAGGAAAAATGGCATTTCCCCTATTTTTCTCTCTTACCTAGAACACATGCCCACATACCAGGAATGGTTTAACCCAGCTCTGCTGGGCTTTTTGGTTGCCTTAGGCAACCTGGTTATTTCTGTTTTCAAGTCATAATTTTGAGTACTGCAAGTCTTGTTTGAGAAAAAGTCAGTAGTTCCCTTGTCAACCCGTATAATCGGGGGAGTCACAAATTTTAAGTCCTAGCTAACCACAAGACTAACCTCGCAGGTTGTATTTATGAGCCACTGATTTTCATTCACCCAGGAAACTTGTCTCGGCCACCCTTTCCCTTTAATAGCTCTCACTAAAACTCCTCTGGCTTTATTACCTGGTATATAATATTAATGTTCAGGGCAGGCCAAGGGGTGATGGTCTTTTTAAAAACCAAGGATCCTTTTGAGGCTTAGCATCTTAACAAGGGGAAGAAGCAGATTCTTTTCTTATTTATATTCCTTTAACATAAATCCAAGTTTTCCCCCTCCCCATCCTAAGTTGCTCTTTCTGAAAGAGAAATGGAAAGGAAATAATGTCTCCCTTGAGTGCTGTTTTTAAGGCTGCTTTTTGAAATGATGGATTATAGGCAGTAGTAAGAATGTAAGGGAAAAATGTGCCAGTATGGTTCTCTGGAAATGCAGTAGCATGAGAAAAAAATGTCCTTCAAAGAAGCAAAGATTGTGCGTTACATTCACAGAGCCTGTTGTCAACTCTAGCTGACATTCGTTTCAGCATGTCTTCACGCATTACAGAGTCAGCATTGTTATACACATACACACAGAGGTATAGACAGGCTCACTCTCTCCAAAAGATGTTTATTCATCCCACAAGAGAGAAAGGAGAGATTACCAGGATGCTGGCTTGCACAGTGCTTGGTACATGCTAGGGGCCCAGCGAACACTGGTGGAATAAATGAATCTCACCACTGTAGAAAGAGATGTCAGACAGAGTCAAATCCGAACCTTTTATATGTCTAATATTTTCTCCTTGTGTGGCCTGTCTTGGCATTAATCTACTTAACATCTTATTCATTCAATTTTTACTGTCAGATAAGTGATGATCCTTTCTCATTCATCTTTATACCTTTGTCTCTAGCATAATGTCTGGCATGTAGTTTATGCATGATAAAAGCTCACAAAGCCTCACAAACCCTAAGGGGAAATGATTATAAAAGGGAAAAAGATCAGATGAGAAAGAAATGAATGTTAGGGACTACAAAAGGTGAAAACAAATGAAGAGGTAAAGAGTAATTAGAGAGAACATAATTCTATTTTGTTGAAGAATCTACAGCATATTTTATAGAATTGCTAAGGATATGAAAGAATAATGAAGAACATTGATCCTCTTAGAGGAGAGATTTTGAGAACTGTGTAAATGTGTCTCCAGAAATGGTGCTTGATGGGCTGGTTACCTTAAGAAACCAAGACCAGAGGGCTGAAGGAGTGGACTAGGATCTAATTCTAAATTACTAGGTGCAAACATTAGAAGCACTTGAATGACTGCAGAAGTGAAGTCTATTGGTAAACCAGTAGGCAGCCCTTAGAATGCAACAGACAGCTTAGGGAATCTGAGCTTAGAAAATAAATGGGAGCTAGGGGAGCCAGGAAGCCAAAACTACAGCCCGAGCTCGGGAGTGGCATGGGCTGTGAGAGTGGCCTTACTGTGTCCCCCCGTTATATGCTCCCTCAGAGCAGCTGGGGCCGCTTTTGACCAACTTGCAGCTTTGCATCTCTCAAGCAGGAGCTGGCTGACTGGGTGTAGGCTGCAGGTAGTGACTCTGGGTGCCAGGAACTATCCACTCTTCAGCTTCCTGTGTCCTTGAGGTGACTCCTGAGATGCCCACATACTGGACAACATACATAAATCAGGGGTAGAATTCCCACTCACTGCTGCAGCACGAGTCTGTGAAGGCCTCACTTTCTATCTTGCTCAAAATGATGAAGTCTTTAAAACTTGAAATTCTTCTCCCTTTAAGTATTCAACCAAATTTTACTGAGCACTGACCATGGGTCAGCCATTATGCTAAGCACTGGGAATAAGGGCTGCATAGTGGCACATACCTCAGGCACAGTCCCTGGTTTCGCAGGGTTCCCACATAGGTAAGGGTTTTCTACCACTGGTCGCCTGAGGAGAAGAAATATCCTCTGAGGAGATGGAATATCCTTTAAGCACCTTCCATACGCACTGTGCTTTCACATATACTTCTTTGTTTAATTTTACAAGAGCGTCATGTTTTTCTGATGAGAAAACTGAGGCTAAAAGAGTTTAAGTAACTGGTTAGCTGGTTTATAGTCAATTTCTAGCAGAGTCAGGATTCAAATTCAGTTCTGTTCAACTGATGCAGGGTTTTGTTTTCAGTACTACAGTAGGGATTGGACCCAGAGCCTTTGTATTGAGCTATATCTTTTTTATTTTGTATTTTGAGACCGCACCATGTTCACTCACTAAGTAGCCTAGACTGGGCTCTCCTGTCTCAGCCTCCCAAGTAGCTGGGATCGAAGGCATGCACCACTTCCCCAGCCTGACATAGTTTCTAGCACACCACTTAATTGCACTGGTGAAGTGGAGAACTGCTGGCTCAAATTCCAGATCAAAACTCTTCTTGAATTTTACATTTAACTCTGGTAACTGAGATGAAAGATTTTCTCTATATAAAGTTGTAGCAGCTTGTGTGACAATGTGAGTCATCCACAAAGAAGCATTTTGGCACTGGCTGAAATGGTTTTTGCAGTTGATGTGGGTGGGTTCTAAGGGAACATGGAGCAAGAAAAACTGAATTTTATTGTGCAAGAGGATTAGTAAATACCAAAAGTAAGTGGCTGACCCAATTTATATTACCCCAAAATAAAACTAATAGCAATATAAAATTATAATCTGCAACATGTTTATGACCAGTAACAATAAAGCATAAGCAGGTTTCAATTTCCTGAAAAAGAGAAGATAAATTACTGATACCAGATGTTTTGCAACTAAGCAAGATAATGTGAAAATTTAATTTTTACTTGCTTAACTGTAATATTTATGACTCAAAATACACGTTTGGGTTCATAAAACAGGAAAGGTTACAGCCATCTGCTTGGTTACAGAATCGATCAAAATGCAGAGGATGATTCTGTTTGCAGGAAGAAATTCACAAGTGTAAAGAATCTATAGGCAGAATAGAATGATTTCTTCTATTCATTCATTGAATACCTTTATGTAACAGCCATTTGTACCAGGTCTGGAAGAATTGATGACAAACATATACATCTAAACATCTCCTTCATCTTTGCACATGTCATCCCTGCCTGAACCATCCCAGGTGCCTTGCCCCCCCCCCCAGCCTGCCTCCCCTCCTCCCACTGTGACTTTGTCCAGTGAATTCCAACCCTTCCCCTGTGATCTGGACTTACCTAAGCTTCCTTGGGGAAATAGTCTGGGACCTTCTGGGCTAGTCAAGTCCCCTTATCACACATCCTTAAAACACCATAAATCTCTTTGCAGCATTTGTCACTGATGCTGTTTAGTATTTTTGTGTTAGTATTTGATAGATGTCTCTCCCTTGAGCCAGTTAGCAGCTGAGGTGAGACACTATCTGATGATATTCACTGCTGCACTCCCCACCCACAGCATGATGCATATGTATGGAGACCTAATAGGTACACGCTAAATATGAACTCAATAAATACACCTCTGTATCAGCTGCTGAAAGGGCAGCAGCTGCTCTCTTACCAAGACCTTCCAAGTATTTTCCCCCCTAAATTGTAAAAAATTTTTGTTACCAGGGATTGAACTTGGGACCTTGGGCTTCTAAGGCAGGTGGTGGAACCCCTGAGCTAAATCCCCAGC